CCAAGACGAGCATACTTAACAAGTTAGTTATTTTAAGCTCTAAAAGAGGTTTTGAAAATGAACAGACACAAGGCTTAAAAAAAAAAAAAAAAGGCTAGTGATTTGAGTCTGTTATGTGAAAATGGTTTAAAGGGTCTCCACATCTCGAACAGTGGAAGGACACAAATAGAAAGGTCCCATGGAGCAACAGGGGCTTACCTCCCTACTGCACCAGGTCCCTTATCACAGTCATAATAATGGTATGCTAGGGGAAGCGACAGAGCATTTTCACTCATAGAATAGGGGGTACAGTCACAATTTTGGGGTATCTAGTTAGGGATATCAACTAATATGCTCATTAGAAGCTCGCCTGGATTCAGAAACAGATGAAATAGTTAATTATTATTTATCGATATTTAAACAGCTACACATTAAAAACAATAAGAGCAGTTTTCATTTAAACTACAATACCCTTTTAATACTATAGATCAAAGAGTAATAGCATGCATTAAACTGTAACAGCCAATCAGATACCTAGCAGTCCACTGTCTTAGATCAATAATATATGTTTTCTGATGGGCTGTTTTGGTTTAATACACGCCAATATCAGAAGCATCCCATAAGAGGCTCATGTGTTTAGCTCCAGGCTTCCGGAGTACATTTGTTACGGTTTACTCGCTTTGTTCATCTGCATTGTAAGGACAGCCAAGGTTTTAGCTGGTAGTCTTTATTAACGTAGACACAGACCAATACATACAAAAGATGACTTCTAGATAAAAGTGATACCACACTGAGAACAATGAAGCGTCATTTACCCAGGTTTTGAAATTCCATATACAGACACAATACTGAATGGATTCTATAACATTGTCTCCCACCAACATTCAAACAACAAATTCTATAAGACAAGCTATGCGGGGAACACGAGTATAAAAATGGCATTTACAACATCTACGCTGCTTTTTAGGACTTGCGCTTTGCTAGTGCTATATTCTGGTCACACTGATCCTCAGAATGTACACAATAATGTTAATGATAGACATCCTAAAGGCAAGTATATACTTCCCAGTAAAATGGTGACCCCCAGACTTGTGCCATGGGTTATAGATATCTTTAGGCACCACGACTGATATACAATTTTAGGAACCACATAACTATTGTTAGATAGAAACTGGTCAGCTGTGTTTCCTTCATGTGAATGTTTCTTTAAAGAGCAAATGTTACTGTATCCAATGTACATACAACTTCATGGGGAATTTGGAGAAGGAATGTTAGCTGAGGCAAGCCAAACATTTTCCCAACATTGAAAACTACTAGTGTGCAAAAATCACATTTCAAGTGTTTTAGGATGACACAAAAAGAAACCTTCAAAGTATCTCCTGTAAATAAAGTGTTTTCCCTTCATTCAGATAATGACTCCCTTTGATATAGCTTTTGGTCCGCTACAAGACTATTTCACTTTGCAGAAACACTAGGCTGAGCTGGAGTGGCTGATATATACATATGTTAGTCTGCTCCCTCCATGGTCTGTGATCCATCACTGGGCAGTATGTCGGAGCACTGCAGGCCCTGTAGAGTCACTTGTCTCATCTACCTTCCCAATGACCCAATGTCACTTCCAATCATGGCAGCACCCACAAAAGTCCATGTAGCAGTCAGTGAGAACTTACCACTGCTCTGAAGATGCAAGGGTTTTATGAACATTTAAAATCTAGCTACAAGAAGTTCCCATGTGTAATATTTACATAGAAAGTTTACTGTCATTTATAAAAACCACTCATAATGGGGGGTGCGCACCCAATTTGTGGCTTGAAAAATATTTCAGCCCATTCATTGATAAGGGACTGTGCGCAGATGACAGATACTGTTTATTTAATTTGAACTCAATAACTGAAGACCGTCATTAAATAAACATCAATATGCAATGCTCTTGTAACTCGCCTTTCAGAAATTTACCACAACACAAGTTTTAAAGTATAAGTGCACTTCTGACTATTTTTTTACCCCAATAAACATATACTAGCAAGCAAAGCATGTTTAAGCCTAACCTGCTGTCCCTGGAGAGCTCTACTAGGATCCTCAATGTTTTGCCAATTCAAAAGGTCCAAGTTAATACTTGGCTTCAAACTCAGGAAAGAAAGCATCCAATGCAGACTTCTAGGTGTGCTTGCTCTATTTATTTAATACAGGTATTTATGGAGTGCCGACAATTTAAGCAGTGCCCTCAAGAAGCTTACAGTCTAAGGTCCCCATCTCACATGCATACATACATATAGGGTCAATTTAAAGAGGAGCCAACTAACCTACCAGCATGTCTTTCGGAGTAAATCAATGCAAGCACAGGGAGAACATGCAAAACTATCCTTGCAGATAGTGAGTGACCTGGCAGGATTGGAACGCAGCACCCCCAGTGCTACAAGGCAGAAGCACTAACCACTACGCCACCGTGCTGCCCCACTACTAGGGATATTTATCCCTCTATTAGGGATAAGCAAGGGGCAAGAATATAAGAGGGATGATCTCCATCACACAATGATGCAGCAGCAAGCTGTCTACCACTCTGCATGATTTCATTCTAAAGCTGGCTATACACTGATGGCTTTTTCTTGCTCAGCCTGTGAAATGATTAATCAGCCCATTCACACTAAACGGTGTAAATGGGGCAACAACCCTAACTACCCCCCACCCCCATGATTCTCTGCAGCAATGGATTAACCAGGTATAATGAGCAATATAAATGTTCATTTTTATCACTCATTCTTTCCTTTCGAAAGCTGCCATTGCTGACCTTCTAAAGATGCTAGAGACCTGGCTATTCCGTTTGTTACCGATCAATAGTTATGCCAGAGGACACACGGACACACACACACACAACTATCTTTCTAAAATCTGAACACTTGCCATTGGTTATACAGGAACACCTATAGAGCTCAAAAGTGTTCCTTCTGCCCCGCCAAGGATTATGTCCTGCGACTGAGTGTTTATGAACATACCGAAGGGGTGGACAAATTAATATAGAGTCCAGGAGCCAGGCTGCTCCATTGACAACTTGAAAGGGACCAGCTGCTATTTTTAATTGGCTACCTGGCTCCTGGAGTTTGTCCAGCTGATATGCAGCAAGTAGTAATCCCAGATCAGATGTAAACAGATAAGGGCAGTTCACCTAATACTACTGTACCACATTGTCAGTTCTAGACAACTGTAGACAGGTCAACAGGATTGACGTGCAAACGTTGAATACTTCCCCTTGGCCAGGCTCTTGAAGGGGCAGAACATGAAAACCAGGTGCACGAAAACAGTGCCTTTTAAATATCTTACATTTTTCTCTTACCGCTTCACTTTTGCTCTCTAACACCGCCACTGGAAGCAACAATCCCCGCTGCTGGATGATGATAATGAACACTGCCATCAGCGGGGAACGTCCCTGACTGGAGAGAAGTAGTGGTGACTGCGCAGATAGACCGCTGCTTTCTCAAAAGGCAGCGGTCCTTACCGTTACCCTGCAGCAGGGACTGTTACCCTTAGGGCCAGTGCAAGGAGAACAAAAAGTAAGACACCTAGACGACACTGGTTTTTCCTGCACCCTGGTTTGATCTACTCATTGTACAATTGAGCTGTAAAGCAGAACTCCAAACAGCGTTATACTCATCCAAACCGTGATACCAGCTGGCTCCTGCAGCCTCTCTCACCCTCCACTCCAGCCATAGTATGGCCCTTCGTCCTCGCGTTCTATGCACTGAATAGAACGTAATGACTCACAGGGCTTACTGCCACGGAGGGGGAAGAGGCTAAAGGGACAGGTCTAAGAGCAACCCGGGATCGTGGTTCAGATGAGTAGAACTGTTATTTTAACTCTAGACAAGACGAGCATTTAACCCCTGCAGTGCGTAGGCAGCCCCACTGCAAGGTTTAAGATTTTAGTTTGCCGGAATTCTGCTGTAATGAATGTTTCAGACAGAAGTAAAATCAGAGAAAATATAAATCAGGATAACTCGGCTCATGATGCTTCTGGTATGACCACAAACACTCTCAGTACTTGGATACACTCAACTAAGCCAATATTCCCTTTATTTCCCAATAACAAAATAATAAATACTTCATATTAACAAATCTGTTGTCATTGAAATAAATCTATGTGCAAAATGTCATGTTTCTAAGACATCTAACTGCTAAAATCACCTTTATTTAAAATTGTGCTTGCTTTTAACTAGAAGGCAAATGAATAAGCAGGAGCTTAAATGGAGTGACATCGAGGACACACATTTAAGCCAGCACAATGACCACGATTGTACTTACTATACTTTGACGGCTGAACTTGTATGGCTGAAAGTCACACATCTGCTTTGTGTGTGCATCAGCGAGGGAGGAGGTATTATTAAACCTAGTTGCTACAAAAGGAAATGGAATGGAATTCACAATGACTTCCTAAAGCATTATTTCAAAACCAACAACATCCTTTATACAAAGTAACAACATCCCTTTCTTGACATTCTCTGGCAGCAGCAATATGGTCAGAGACGCACTGATGAATGTTTACAGGTGAAACTCGAATAATTAGAATATCGTGCAAAAGTAATTGCAGTAATTGCTGCAAAAGGGGCCCAAACCAAGTACTGAGTACATATGCATGCTTGTACTTTTCAGAGGTCCGATATTGTTCTATGTACGATCCTTGTTTTATTGATTGCATGTAATAATCTACTTTTTTGAGGTTGTGGATTTGGGGTTCTTGGGGTTTTCATGAGCTGTAAGCCATAATCATCACAATGATGACAAATCACGGCTTGAACTATCTTGCTTTGCATGTAATGAGTCTATCTCATATATTAGTTTCACCTTTTAAGTTGCATTAGTGAAATAAATGAACTTTGCACGATATTCTAATTATTCGAGTTTCACCTGTATATAGATATCTGTATCAGTGCCAGGCTGATTCTAGCAAGGCACTGCCAGTTAACCGTGCGCCAAGCCTAATTCAAGAGGAGCAGCTAGGTTAGGAAAGATGATCAGCACATACACAGCCTGGAAAATGTAATGACAACCGTAAAATACAGACCAGAGATGCTAGACAGAGTTAAGGTAATGCACATTGATAAAGCACGTTGCCGTTAATCGTTCTTCATTCTTAAAATTGCACTTGCCAAAGGTTTGTGTCTTTTCAGACGTTAGAGTGAACGGAATGTAAAAATAAAAGATGGAGTTCTCAGTCACTGTGCAGGTAAACAGACAATTGATCAACAGTTACAACTGAGGCTCAATGGAAAAAAAAACAACAAAAAATAATAACCCTGAACAGCACATGCCTTAGGCCTCCATGAAACCATGCATCTTTCCTGGCGCCCAACGTAACCGAATTTTGTATGAATTCAACTTGTAAAATGCCCGCTGCGTTCTAGTCCAATAAAATGGACATCTAGCATCCACAGGAAAAAGAGGTCTTTGGTGCAGAATTCAGCTCCACTGTGCTCTCTGGGGGCTGACTCAAAACTAATGGCTTATGACTCTTCAGCTTGTGTGCCAGAGTCATAAAAATGGCTTCCACGTGGTCATTGGTATTCTTGGCGGAGGTCTCGAACATTGGCATGCTGTGAGCATCGGCAAACTTCTGAGCCAGGTCGGTGGGCACTTGAATGGAGTCCTTCAGGTCACATTTATTCCCAACCAGAATGCGTGGCACCTCGTTGGTGAGCAAATGTTGCTTACACTCCTCTATCCAGGCTGGTAGGCTCTGGAAACTGGCCATGTTTGTGATATCATACACAAAAACCACAGCGTGCACATTTCGGTAATAGTGTTGTACCATACTCTTACGGAAACGCTCCTGTCCTGCTGTGTCCCATAGCTGAATCTGGAAGATGCACAAACATGTAAACACGGAGGTTAGATTAATAGTGAAAGTGTATTGTGTGGTTTGAGGACGCTTATTTTTTACAGATATACCTTGACCTGGACGAACGAGAAACCTTTACAGACATTTTAGGACACTTGGATTTTAGTTGTTTAAGTTTATATGTTTTCAGTAGTGTTCTTCTGAAATCTTTATTTGACAAACAAACATTTAATACGGGGTGTACTCTGGATTCACAGAGCCGTATGGGTTTTCCCAAGAAACAGAGCAGAATTCACTTGCTTTCAGACTCGCTCTAATAAATGAAGAATCAGGGTGCATTCACCCCCAAATCGGAAGTCAATGGAGGGTCTGTTGACTTGAATTGTACCCTCCGATTTCATTCCAATCTGTTGCAAACCGAAAGGCACCGAAAAATTAATGGGTGTGAATGGGGCTAGTTCACACCGGATCTGTTGCGTTGAAAAAAAAAAAAAAGAAGAAGTATTGCATGCTCTACTTTTTTTTCCAGCTCAACTGAACACAAAGAGATCCGGTGTGAACTAGCCCCATTCACACCTATTCCTTTTGTGGTGCACTTATGTTAGCATCCGTTGAAAAACGTAACACAACTAGGGCTGCAACTAACGATTATTTTCATACATCGATTAGTTGGCCGATTATTATTTTTAGATTAATCGGCTAAAGAACAAAAAAAACAAAAAAATCAAATACTATCTTTTATTTAAAATGAAATACACAAATGCAGTGTTACAAGCAAAAGTTTACTTCAGAATAAAACTGCATGCACATTTTCTGCAATTGCACGGCACCGGAACGCATTGCAGTACCGTGCGTTCTCGTGCAGGCGATCACACTGCGTGTGGGAGGCACATTTGGGGTGCCACTGAAATGAGTGGCACCACAACACACATCCTGCAGCAGAATTCGTCAGGCCGAAACCAAAAATCACTTTTCCCACTAATATATATATATATATATATCATAATTGTATGTATTATAACAGAAATGTAAATTAATTTCATGGATTTCAAATAATATAAAATAGTAAAACTCTAAAATAATAAAATAGCCAAACATTTATGTCAAATAAATAAAAGCCCGGTCATCAGTTTAGAGTTAGATATAAATACTGGCTGGAAAATTATTGTTCTCACTCTGGCATACCTGACATGTGTAGCACAATCGTCGTTTTCATATGTGCACCAGACTTGTGTTTCCGTTAGTATGCAGGGTCGGGGACTGTAACATTTTTTGGGGGTATTTTGAATTTTAACTTTGTTTTTTTTATTTTTTTTCTAAACGTCATCACATGAGGGGGCTCACAAGCTCCTTATGCGATAGCACATTTGAGATGACAGGTTCTCTTTAAGGGGACATTAGGGGGTCTATTAGATCCCTAGTGTCACCTTTCCACTTCACTGGGTAAGGACAGCTGTCTGCTGAGGCAGCTGAAGGTAAATACAGCTTGCAGTGGCTGGGAGCAATAGCCAGTCCTCCTTTGCTGATTGACAGCAGGCAGTGGGCGGGTGCAATATCCAGCATGCTATTGGCTACTGCAATCTAAAATAGCCAAAATGCCCCTGCTGATACAGACGGGGATCAAAGGGGACACAGACCGCAGCATGCAGTGGCTCCCAGTGAGCAGGAGAATGAGAAGTAGAGCGGTGCCGGGATTTTTGCATTGAGGCTGGCGGGAGATTGAGGTACAGAGTTCTGCTCATGGCTGCAGGGGTCTGTGTCCCCTGTCCCATCCCCGCCTGGAGCAGCAGGGATGGGAGGGGACGCAGAGCCCATTAAACAAGCAGAATCAACTAAAGAGAATAAGTAACAACGATTTTCATTTTTGATTACCTTGCAGCCCTATACAATAACATCAATTATGGTAAGGCAGCCCAATTATTTTCGGACAGCTGTAAAAGGAAGGCAATGCTGGTTTTAAGGAACCTACACTTTTTTTCTCTAACATATCCTATAACATTGCACAGATGGTTCATGGTAGTATGCTCAAATACAGGTCACCACAATGCCCACTAGCATTTCTTGCAACATGAAGATGTGCATCTGGCATCCTATATCACCTAGATGGATACTATATAATATTGTTCAATTGTCAGCAAACAATTCAAATAATTATAAAGTAGCTTCTTTACCTTAATCTTCTCTCCATCAATCTCTACACTCCTCTCTCGAAAGTCTACACCTATTGTGGCCTCAGTCCGTTCGGGGAAGTAGCTGGTACAGAAGCGATAAGTCAGGCAGGTCTTTCCCACATTTGAATCGCCAATCACAATGATTTTAAAGATCCTGGCCCGTGTGGATCCATAAGAGCAAGTGCTGTTCATACTAGCTTCCAAAGATGACTCAAATCCTCTATCTCCACCAGTGGCCGAAGACATGTTGGCCAACGAACCAACCCTGAAAAAGAAAAAGACTGAAAATTAAAAAGGAGGCATACCAACAAGCTAGTAAAGACTATCAATTACCAGACTACAAGAATCCCCCCTCCTACCTACCTATTCCACTGGTCTACAAATTTGGGGAAATGATCGACCTCTGAGAAAAAAATGTGTTAATTATTACCATAAAAAATAAGACATCCCCTGAAAATAAGACCTAGTGGGTTTTTTGGGGCAAAAAAAGATATAAGACAGCGTCTTATTTTCGGATAAACACGGTAGTAGCGACTGCTATTTTTCCCTGATTTCTCCAATTGCAAAAGGGATCTCAAGAAAGAAGTGGACCATGGGAAATCCAAACATTCCATCCGCACTGCGCCCTGTACCCCATGGTGAGGACTTCCACCAGAATCCTACTCTCTAGACTCAAATGATGGTACAGACGATGAGCAGGATGCAGCTGATCCGGGGCCGTCGATGTCAGCGGACACAAACTTGAACCCACCCTATGCTCTTCCTGAACCACATCTAATTTCACAGAGTGTACTAAATGACCTGGTCAGGGATTTGGAATTGCCTAAGAGTAAGGCACAGTTACTGGGATCCAGATTACAACAGTGGAACCTCTTGCAGCGTGATGTCAGGATCTCCACATGAAAAACCAATAAATGAAAAGTTGGTATCAATAAAAAGATACATTTATAATGATTGGTGTGGCACCATTCTCATTGCTATATCACATTTTACGAAAAAGTTATGGAGCATAAGCGCACACCCCCCTAGTTACATAGTTACATAGTATTTGAGGTTGAATAAAGACGTTAGTCCATCAAGTCCAACCTATTAGGATTTGTAAATATTGGAATATTATAGTAATTTGGAAATATTTTGATGCAATTTTAACCTGAAGCTGTATCTTGGAAACTGGAGCCAAATAATACTCAGGACTTAATTTTCCTTTAGTAGTGATACAATTCTGGTAAAATTTAGCTCCTTTCATTTCCGAGGCTTTCTCCTTGTAGACCAGTGTTCTCAGGCTATGAGGCTAGCAGACAAGTCATTCTAGAATGGAATCCTCCTTTCCTGAGTGAGCGATTTTCTACAACAAAGCATTGCCACATGGCGGTGTCCAAAAGATCATGTTAATGTCCGACTTTCAGAAAGCACAGGGGTTTCAAAGCAGTGAGGATGCTTTATGCACACAGGGCTAGAAGCTGCAGTAGAGGATTGCTGAAGTAAGAACCTACGGATTCTTGTGGCAGGAATCCCAGGCGGGTGTACACAGATGTGACAACTGAATGACAAGCTGACGGTAGTCATATCTGTCAGGGCTGTCTGCATGTAACTGGCAATCGTCTATCCCAAACTGTAGCCACATCCATATGGACCCACCTGGGATTTTTGCCACAAGAATCCTCAGCTCCAGCTTCTAGCCCCATGTGCATCTAGCCCCCTTACATGGGGAGAAAGATATAATCTGGCACTTTCTGGTGACTACTATCTATCAGGTTGTCAAGGAAGTGTATACTGAAAAAAAAACCAAAAAGCACTGCAAGTTGCCCCCCCACCCCCGAGAGCCTGCGCAGCTCCGATCCACCTTATTATGATAACCCGATACTATAAGGCTGGTTTCACACCTGGTCGTAGCATAGGCAAGTTTTTCCCTTTCAGTAAAATGCATGTTTCACTGGCAGTATGATTTTTTTTACAAATTTTCCTCTATTTTTTTTTTTTATTTTAACTTTCAAACTTCCCACCGGTTCCACCCCCCTGCGACGCAGCCCCTCGCAAGGGACGGAACCCGGAAGTCGGCAGCTGCCGGAGGACGCAGCGGGGATCGCGGACAAGGTAAGTCCTACTCTGTATTCCCGAGTGTGGCTCGGGGGTACCGCTTTGTTAACCCCCGAGCCACACTCGAGAATACCAATGGAAACGTGCGGAAAGACGCCCCAAAGAAGCTCCCGTACTTGTTTGGGCGTAGGGCATTTTCAGCGCGTTTCCACGGGCTGAAATATGCCCAGGTGGGAATCATGCCCATAGGGAAGTATGGGATTTCACTGTTTGAGCGTTTTTCAGCGCTTCGGTCAGCACTGAAAAACGCCCAGCTGTGAACGCGGCCTGAGGAATGATGGGGAAACGGTGACCCTCCCCTCAGTCGTCCACAATTCAGTGTTTAGAGCCCGGTAGGCTGTCCTAAAGCCTACACACACTGTTCCATCGTGTTAAAGCATGCAATACCGCAACGAACTGCAGTGCCATTCATTTTCAATGGCAACCCAATGCGCATGCATCATAGTGCACTGCAACAAACTGGTTGCTGGGCTTTGCTATAAACATACACCTGTCAATGAAAAAGTACAACCTATTGAGTGACTTCAGATGTCTGGCAACCATCAAATGCACGTTTACGAGGGCTATCCGGCTGTATCCTAATAGATATGCGCGGAAATACGCCCCAAAGAAGCTCCTGTACTTCCTTGGGTGTAGGGCGTTTTTCAGCGCGTTCCGATGAGCTGAAATACGCCCAGGTGGGAACCATGCCCATAGGAAATAATGGGATTTCACTTGCTGGGCGTTTTACAGCGCGTCGATCAGCACTGTAAAACGCCCAGGTGTGAACCCGACCTTAATGGCTCTAAAATTAATGCTCTCACTCCGATGTTTTTGGGGCGATATGTAACATGTGCGGCACAATAGGCGCAATCGTCTTTGCACGTAGGCGCACCCGACGCATATCTGTGTGTGTATGTGGGGGGCGGAGACTTGTTTTCTTTTTTTTTTTAACTGTTATGCTTTATTTTTTTTTATGATTCTTACATTTTTTGGATTACTTTTTTTTTTTTTTTTACACACAACTTTATTGCTATCACATGGGGGGCTACGAAGCCCCCTATGGGATAGCCAATTTACATGACAGGTCCTCTTTATGGAGACATCAGGGGTCTCGAAGACCCCTGTCACCTAGGGACCCCCAGAGAAGCGGATGAAGCAGAGATCGGCTTCATCAGCTTCTCTAGCTGGTCAGGACCTACCAAGAGTGGTCCAAGGAAGAAAAACCGGTGAACCAGCAACAGGGTCATGGGCAGCCAAGGCTCACTGATATAAGTGGGGATCAAAGGCTGGCCCATGTAGTCCGATAGAAGAGCTAAAAACAAGTTAATGCTGGTTCTGAACACAGCCCATCACAGTCTGTTGAGTCCATGGGGCTGCGTAGCTGCAGTTTGGTCAGGGTTCACATGCTGACCCCTGTCCACTGCCAAATGTGCCTACAATAAGTACGTAAGCATCAGAACTGGACCATGAAGCAATGAAAGAAGGTGGCCCGGTCTGATAAATCACATTTTCATTTACATCATGTGACTGGCCAGGTGCCTGTGTCGCTTATCTGGGGACTACAGAGGTATTTTGCTGCACTCCTTACGGGACAAGATGGTCTGTAAGATCCAGGCTGGTGCTCGTAGTGACCACGGATGGCACCGTGAAGATATGCAAGTTTGAAAGGATGTCACCAGCACACCATGTTAAAGTTAAATCAGCAAAAGTTCATTTATTGATAGAATACTGCCATTCCTGTACAAGCACCTTCGGGGGCCGCACAGGGTCCTCTTCATCAGGGTCAGAATGGTTCAACAAAGATGTACAAACACCCTTTAAATAGACATAGCCAAACATGTGAATCAGACAAAATCCCTCCCATCTCTTCCCCTAGCTTATCTGAGGAAGAGATGGCACCAGGATGCACTATGGGAAGAAGGCAAGCCGGCAGTGGCAGTGTGATGCTTTGGGCAATGTTGTGCTGGGAAACCTTGCCATTCATGTGGATGTTAGTTTGACATGTACCACCTACCTAAACATTGTTGCTGGCCAAGTACACCCCTTTATGGAAACAGTATTCCCTGATGGCAGCGGCCTCTTTTAGCAGAATAATGAGCCCTGCTACACTGCAAAAATGGTTCAAGAATGGTTCGAGGGACACAACAATGGAGTTCGAGGTGTTCACTTGGCCTTCAAAAATTCTTCAGGCCAAATTCCAATCGAGCATGTGTAGGATGTGCTGGAATAACAAGTCCATGGAGCCCGCACCTCACAACTTACAGGACTTAAAGGATCTGCTACTGATGGCTTGGTGCCAGATACCACAGTATACCTCCAGAGGTCAAGTGGATACCATCCCTGAATGGGTCAGGGCTGTTTTAAGGGTTAAAAGGGGGGCCTACTCAATGGGGTGGTAATAACGCTATGGCAGGTGTGTGTGTGTATTAGTGATGGGCTCGGGCGTGTTCGCAAGCGCCTCGTGCCGAGCCCACCGGGAAGCTGTCAGCGCGCAGGGCCAATCACAGGCACTGAGACATTCCCCGATCTCTGCAGCTACGGACCGGGAACATGTCTCAGTGCCTGTGATTGGCCCTGCGCGTTAACAGCTTCCTGGCAGGCTCGGCGTGAGGGGCTTGCGGACCCGCCCGCGCCCTTCACTAATCTGTATACACACACAGAATTTGATTGTACAATCTTTTTAGATTTCCCAAAACTATGTAATACAAGTACACACTTAAGCTATGTATTTTTATCCAATCACACAGGCCCTTGCACTGCATAGTTAAAGGTAGATCTAGGGGAGATTGTACAATCAGCTTGTATAGTGTATGACCAATGAAACAAGCATTTTACAACTCATTGTCATCCATTGATAGTTCACTCATTCCAGTGACAACCTGTGCTCCCTGCAGTGGTGTTGTCACGGATTTGTATTGTCTGGGTGGTGTTCTCCCTGTTAGCTCATCAGCTTAGACCAGAGATTCTATTTTCACCTCACAGTGGTCACCCAATGGATGGATATTCTAATTTCTCAGCAAAGCAATTAGGGAGGAATGTTGCTTTGTAAAGGTGTACACGGTCAGCATGGGATTAATTCGTATTGCAACATATCTAGCTCTATTAGAATGAGTGCAGCATCCCTCTACAAGTACATTCAGAAGAGGAACTGCCTGGACCTCTGCAGTCATGGCTGGATATA